AGAAAATGTCTTTGCATCTAGCATTCAGTGGGGGCGGGGGAGCCGGGAGCGACGTGGAGGGAGCGTTACCGTCTCTACCTGTGTGATAAAAGTGACTACATCTGCACCAAATGACATCATTTTTTAGTAAGGCAACTTGCAGGGGATAATTGCGTCACAGCTCCACTTGGCTTATAAGGCAATAATTACACGACTCAGAAGTACGTTTCCCAGAGGTGGGAAAATTCATAGAAAACGGCGTGTCTGCACCACACAGAGAAACGCCGGATCTAAAAATGCTGTTCTGTTCCTATTTGCGTCAAAATTAGATGGCAAGAAGCAAAGGGCAGTGATTTTTGAGGGTTGTTCTTTTTTTAAAAAACAATCAGCTATAGAACTGTACCTTAATGCTTTTTAAATAACGCCTTTTCTTGATTTAGAATATAAAAATACATTCTAGGACTGTTTTGTGAGTGCATTGTGAAATCTCCTTTTGGGGAAAAAAGTAGATGACAGAAATACACGGTTGGAGGCCAGTGGTTCAACTCACCTTAAATTGTCATCCATTGCCCATTTCTGATCTTAAACTGTGGAATTTCTCCTCCCCCCACCCCCCTGCCGCCATTTTCTCTCTAGACCAATATCCCGATGTACTTTCAGTGAAATACATATGTTGCTAAAACGATCTTTGTCTCTGTAGCAAACTTAAACACGTTCTGTTCCCAAAGAGGCCGAAATAGCACACGGTGTACTCTCTTGCTGAAGTAGACAGACTACTTCGTGAGGGGAAAAAAGAGAGAAGCACCTTCATCTTCTAGAAATAGGGAAATAAGCTTCCCTTTTCCCATTCAAACTATAAAACAAGCTTTAAAAAACGATAAGCCATAAAATAAATTTTAAAATGGCATACATTCAACCTTGAACATTTGCGTTTTCATACATTATTCCTGAATGTCTAAAAGCGCTGAATTTTTATTTTTGTACGTTAGCTAACAGACATACACTTTGAGTTATACATTACATAGTGTGGCACTAAACTGTCTAGAAAGAGGCCTCTGTGCTTGATTCAGTCAGGAACTGGTATGTGTCTGTTTTGTGCAGCAGGGATATACCTACAGTGATGTCATGAGTCTTATTATGACATTACACCATCTCCTGTGGTATTTCATTATGTCCAAATGTACTTTTTGAATATACTGTTTCTGAAACCGGGCTGCGTCTTTCCACCAATCTATATATTTACTATGTAGGGCCCACCCCTGAAAAAATAGTGACCTTTAATCGATGATGCCTCTCTCATTTTTTATAAAAAGGAATGTTTTATAGCAGGGTCTGGTGCAATAAGAAGCATTGTGCTTCTCCAACGCCAAGCAAAGTAAAACCAAGTCATGTAAATAAACGAACTCATCCAGGTAATTCAATTACTTTCCCTACCAATTACTGGAACAATGGGAGCACCTAAGTACCTTGAGTACATTTTTTTCACACTGGTAGAGCTCCCCATAGGGCAGATAGAAGCTGTCTCTTCCTAGCCCTCTAACTTAAGTATACAGTCCTGAAATCCGGTATCTAGCAGTCCCAGATGTCCGGAGGCAGGTTAGAGACGTGGTAGTGGAGTTGGAAGGAAGTTCCTACCCAGGAGTTCTGAGGATTTAGGATACTGTGTACCTTCCCCCACTTTTCAAAAAAAGAAGTTGAGGCTTTTCAGAAATCCAGTCTGTGGTAATTATCTTGGTAATCAGGTTTCATGTAACTACTCCCCACCACAGTCTCTGGGAATCTAACAGTTGTATCTTCAGCAAACTCTAATAAAGCTGCATATGCATTCTTTCCTCTCTTGAAAACTGTTTGCCAAGTGCTCTATAGCTTGAGGGTTTTTATGGCATCTTGTGGAGTCTAGGCTATCTCAGTCCCTCAGGGTCTAACTTCTGTGGATCCACACCAAGATCTGCACGCTGACACATTCCAACAGGATGGTGGCTGTTGTCCTAAGCATTATTTTCTCGTCCCTAACCCAGATGGAGCCTTCAAAATGCAATCTGAGCCCTAGCTGGTTTGCTCAGTGGTTAGAGTGTCAGCCTGCAGACTGAAGAGTGCTGGGTTCGATTCCAGTCAAAGGGCAGGTACCTGGGTTGCAGGCTCAATCCCTAGCCCTGGTTGGGGTGCGTGCGGGAGGTGGCAAATCGATGTGTCTCTCACATCGATGTTTCTCTCTCTCCACTCTCTCTGAAGAGCAATGGAAAAAATATTCTTGGGTCAAGATTTAATAAATAAATAAAAACAAAATGCAGTCTGAGGGTCCCCAAATTTTCCAGGCTTTCAAGTTTGTTTTAACAGCCAGATAGAATAACTTGATTTTTTAAAATTTTATTTATTGGTTTTAGAGAGAGAGAAACACCGATTCGTTGCCCCCCTTATCCCTGCATTCATTGGTTGATTCTTATATGTGCCCTGACTGGGAATCAAACCCGCAACCTTGGTGTATCCAGACGATGCTCTAACGAACTGAGCTACACAGCCAAGGCAACTTGAACTTTTATGTTGCATGACTAATAGGAAATCGGTGTCTTCATGAATGTTGGGGAATTCCTGGCTAATAATGCACACATCTTGGTCATTGCTGGTCAACTGTCACTTGTAGTGGATCCTCTTAGCTGGCCTCATTACCTCTGGCTGTCTTGTCTGCCACCACCTCTCCACATTTCTCCAGCTCTCTCTCTCTCTCTCTGCACTTCCTGACCAACAACCTTGACTCTCCACTTCCCTAGCAAAGCAAAAACCTAAAGCTATCACAAGGAAACTTCCATCTCTTTAAACAGGTCATGGCTTCTAGAGATCCCTACACAGGGGTGTCCTCTCCCATTATCTCTAAGTCAGATCTGTGGTCATTTGGTGGGAACCCTTACCTGAGCATACCACTTGTTTCTCTCTACCCCAAGGACATGAACTCTCAAACCCAACCCTGGGCCCTGCTAGAAGAATACCAAATCCCTAAATATATAAAAGTGATGTAAGTGCAAAATAAACAAAAAC